ATTTCATCAAGAGACATATACCCCCAAGCCAACCTACCAAAGCAAAAGCCACCAAGGAAACACAAAGAAAATTGCCTTACCATATATAAAGGATATCTCAGAAATCACTACAAGACTCTTCAAACCTTTAGGAATTGACGTCGTACACAAACCAACAAAGTCGCTGCACTCAATTCTATGTCAACCAAAAGACTCAACAGCGAAAGAAGACAAAACCAACATCATCTACAAAATAAACTGTAACAACTGCGAAAAACACTACATCGGCCAAAGTGGACGTCCCCTTCGTCTTCGTATCCACGAACATAAGCTAGCCGTCAAAAGACATGATATCCACTCCCTCATTTCACTACACACAGACAACTACGGACATCAATTCGACTGGGACAACGTTCAAATATTAGACAAAGGAAATAACAAGAATGCTAGAGAATTTTTAGAAGCTTGGCATTCCAGTGGATCATCAATCAATAGACACATCGAGATAGACAAAATTTATCAACCAATAAGAAAGAAACTTCACACACAAAGGGTCAAAGTTCAAGTCAAAGAAACAACCGGTTCCAATACAAGTAACCTAGAAGGTGTGAAAACACACACAAACAACCAATCACGTCCAAGGTCACCAGGAGAGATGATTAATAAACTCGTGGAGAAATCTAAAAGCTCACTTCAAATTGAAGTATGCGCTGAAGATGTCACCCAGTAAGGTGATGAAAGCTTCGCAAACTAACCATCCAGCTCAGAGAACAAAACCACATCAAGATATGCAAGTGGAAAGCAACAAGCTGGCTGAAGAAGCATCAAAGATAGGACTTCAGGTGAACATAGATAAAATAGAGGTGATGAAGATTCCTGGCCAACACCACCACCAACAACAACAGACAACAATCAGCATAAATAGGAGGAACCTGAATGAAGCAACCTCCTTTACCTACCTACCTAGGCAACATCGTCTCGACTACAGGCAGATGGAACTATTGAGGATATCTAAGGAAGAATCGGAAGAGCAAGACAAGCTTCCATTACTCTCAAGTCTGTGTGGAGACCAACAGCACTCCGCATCAAAAATAAAATAAGGATTTTCAACTCCAATGTGAAGTCAGTGCTACTATACGGATCAGAGACCTGGCGCGTGATGAAGGGCACTTCGAACAAACTACAGGCCGTTATCAACACCTGTCTTCACCCAATACTTAGGATCAGATAGCTGGCCAGTAAAGATCAGCAATATTGAGGGATCGCTGGGAGCGATTGAATCAGGAACCGATTGTGAAACAAATATGCTGGGAAAAAGGGAGGCGGATCGGCCATACTTCGAGGAAACCATCAAGTGAGATTACCTGCGAGGCCATCTCTTGAATGGAACCCGAATGGACAGCCGTGACTTGGTCGTCACTGCAAGCAAGGATGACATAGAGGAGGTCATGTGAAGAGGAGATGAAAGCATCCGGGCAGACGTGGAGCAGTGTGAAAACGTTGGCAAAGGACCGAATGTGCGGCTGAAGCCCTGTGTTCTTCTAGGAACTAGAGGAAACGATAATAATATAACAATAATAAATATGAATAAACCGCTATGGCAGGTAGTAATTGCGCTACTTCGCTATTTCATTGTCTCTAATGAATTTTTTTAAACCTCTGAAGTCTGTTAAAAATATGAAGACAGAGGTATGTTAGAATTGATCTTTATGTTTTACGAGTTGATCACGGATTGATATCAGTTAGAGAAGCATTGAAAACCAGGGAGTACTGGACAGCTGGTGTTTCATCCTAGTTTGGGAATCATCGGAAGTACGCACCCACTGGGATTCAAACCCAGGACCTTCTGGTTACAAGGCAAGCTCGTATACCATTCAGCCACTGGAACCCGATTCAATGGTCAGCCCATGAATTCTAACTTCTATCAATTTGTGATTTAAAGCGACCCCAACCATTGTCGTTGGTGGGACATCCATCCACACATGTGACATCTAATTGAACCTCACTGGTCACGACTTCTCACTAGAACTCAGCAAACTCCAGCCTGTAGCAACTCACTAGCGAGCATCAGATTAACTTTCTATAGTCTGGTTTGTAAGGATTAGTTATGTTTTACTAGTTGATCACGGATTGATATCAGTTAGAGAAGCATTGAATCGGGTCCCAGTGGCTGAATGGTATACGAGCTTGCCTTGTAACCAGAAGGTCCTGGGTTTGAATCCCAGTGGGTGTGTACTTCCGATGATTTCCAAACTAGGATGAAACACCAGCTGTCCAGTACTCCCTGGTTTTCAATGCTTCTCTAACTGATATCAATCCGTGATCAACTCGTAAAACATAACTAATCCTTACAAACTAAACTATAGAAAGGTCTTTATGTGTATAACTACCTTTCTGCACCATTGTAAAAATGACTGGACACCATCCAGATTTCTTCTTGATGATGAACTTAGATGTCTGTACATCAACTGCATAACCTACCAATAAATGAGTTCCGCAAAAATCCTTTGGTTCTCTATTCATTGAACACTTCCTTAATTCAAATTTAAATTTAGATTGATATACTGTGTTAATTACGGTCAATATTTATTTATTCATAAAGTCCCGATTTGTTTAAAACCAACTATTATACAACAGTCAACCCAATCTACTTGCCATGAATAATCCAAGGGTACGAAATACATAAACATCAATTTTAAATAATGAGATTTTATTTAAAATTACATTAGCAGTTACATTAGGAGTCAATAAAGTAAAATGTTTATGGATAATTAATTTTGAATACAGTCAAAACAAGACAGGGCTTCACTTCCATTTCTGAGAGAATTTCTAAGAAGACTGTGTTCTCAATCGTGAAAATGGTGAAAAATGGGTAAAACACATGAAGGATTCTGTCAGTGCAAAAAATCATAGAGGTGTATAGTCAAAATCAAGGTGTACGTGTACCTGTACTATGGACAACATGAGCAGATTTAAGTCTCTAACATGAAATAAATGACTTCTCTAATTGAATTGCCATCAAAACTTGGTAATGTAGGAAAATTTTTGTACAAAGGAATAAATGAACTGGGGACCCTAAAACATAATTCAATGTCAAGCATCCTGCGTCAATTTGTTGACCTTGTTGACTGATGGTATTGAACTTACTTCAAAGAAATTATGCGCATAATAGTTTGTAAACACCAGTCAGCGGAAAGTATGCAGTTTTTTCATGTTAATAAATGTGTCATCGGCTACAAATGGTCATAAGTATAGCGTTGTGAGAAATATTTATGTATGTATCTCCGCTGGTACAAAGTCCCATTAAAGAAAATAGACACTTGGTGTGTATTCATATGAAAGGAAATTGCCAGTCTTTAGGTGAATATCGTTACAAAACATGTGGTAGTCAAATGAAAGTCAGACAAATATGGGCTGTGCTTGCCATGGATTCTAAATCAGTTTGCAGCTTATTTCGAATGTGTCTCACAAATCGTATATAATAATACTGTAGCCACTTGAGTCTGGAGATCTCAGGAAGAAAGCATGTCAGTGTGTTCTGCACTATAAATGTCAGTGTCCAAAAATATCCGATAATCTTAAGTCAGTGCGAAAATTGTAAAAGATTGCTGGAAATGCCCCCTTCTGGTATCGGAATGTCGCAGAGTATCTGTCTTTAAATGAGCAAAATCGAAAAAAGCGTACGTCCAATTGAAGGTTTTAAGAACCGAATAATATAATGAAATGACGCTTATTTAGTTGGGAATTAAGCTGCAACTTTCATTTGTAAAACAGTTTGAGACTGAATGTTGATGAGTTGGGTTTGACCATGGATGAGAACAGCACCATTCAATCAGGTGTGGTTTGTAAAACTGACATTCTAAGGGACAGTATCGTGGTACCTCCTCGGAAACCATATCTGATAAAGAAATGGATTAGTTTTGTCCAGATAAATAAATGACCATCAATTATATCAGTAATTGATAAAATATTATTCACCGTATAAAAATTCGGGCTGAAATCGAAATCGAAAATGCAGACACAACTAGTATGAATTTAAATCAGAAGAAGCGGACATTTACAACTGATCCAATGCGTTATGACTATAAATTATCTTACCTAAGCCAGTAGTTAAGTAACACTAAGGACGATGTAATCATGATTCAAACTGAATGAATTGATTTCAGGTCAAATCGCTGACCAGCATCACTCAGATATAAACTTAAACTATAGATAAATGAATACCTGAGACCAAATCTTTGTATTGATTATTTTGAATATATGATAATGTACAGAAAATGAGGAATATTTTAGCACACACTTTCAATGTTTAGATACAGTAACATGCTGAACGATGTTCGGAGAATACCGTGGAGGTGGATCTTACATCTTGTCTGCCTAAGAATGTAGCACACTTGTGAATCTGGAAGTGTCTGGAAATTTCCATTGACAATGCATTTCCACCTGAAACAAGTTAGACTAACTTCGTTGTTTAGTGTAAATGAAATAAAGGGCTAAACGGAATTACAGAGAAGATTAGGCTGCTTATCTAGTCTGTGAGAAATATTGCTGGTGGACACTTTCCACTGGTTATGTTGGGTTAAACGTTATCATTTAATGTTGCGTCTCGACTGTCCACCTGAAATACAAAATTAAACTGCTTGCTGTACTAAACAGAAACTGGGGAAATTTGTTGTCCTACTGGAACAACAACTGTGGGAACCTCTAGCCACTGCCGTTTTGGCAACGGATTCATCTAACTTGCTATTCTTACTATGAAACACATATGACAAAACGCTTCTATGAAACTTAGAGTCTGAATCACAGAAGAAAAGGTCGAAGCGGAAAATCACACAGACATTTTTAAGTCATGTGTAAATTCCGTGAGTAAATCAGAAACGTAGAAAATTAAGTTTAGTTTTGGGAATCCATTACACCTGAATCAGCAAAGTACTTGAAAATCTTGAAAGTTTAAATATAAAATCAGCTCAGGGCTTCAGAATATTTAATTTCTGATTTCCAGTTCAATGCCACAGAATAACTCACCACTGTGATTTCGGATCCTTTTCTTTAGCCGCTGGAATGTTTACAATCAAAAAGCTTAGAATCAGCACATTATCACTGCACCTATTGACAACATTTTCCAATGTGTGGAAAAAATTGTCAACAAAACACCGGTCTCTGAACGCATTTAGTTCAGCAATCATGTTGATGTGTTAGAAGCCTATTACAATTTTCTTGAATTTAAAATGTTAGGGACCTTCAGATTATATGCAACGATTAATTCAACTGTGTAGGTGTAAATAATTAAGGCAAAGTGTTACATGTGATCGTAAATAGCATAACGCTGATTATGAATTCAGAGATCAGTCGTGTACATTTGTATGTCGGCAACAACGAATCAGTATTTTACATTTAATTTTTGATGAATGGAATGCTACTTGAAGAAATATTTGAGGATGTCTGAGAAAACATCTAGCTCAACTTTAAGAGAACTAATTGACAAATAAGTTCACCAGCTAGATCATTTGAAAAATCTAAAAGATGTTGCATGCTTGTTCCACACACTGTTAAAACTAACGTTAAATTCCCTAGGAAAGCAAAGTTCTGAAACAAAATGTTGAGCTTTGGCGCATCAGTCAACGAGAATGACAGAAATAGCTAACTAACTGTAAACTCCAAGGGATTAAACAACAGGCGTATATAAAACACTTACATCTACACTTTTAAACACCATCTATTTGTTGAGCGCTCTTTCACACAGCGAGATGAAAACTAATTTAACAGACATGCGATGATAAATTCAGGATTGAAAATACTTGAAAATACTGTAGACATCATTTGCAGTTGTGAAATGCAAGGAACTCAGTTAGTGAAAAAAGTTGTGTGTTTCTAAATACCTTTCACAAGATTAGACTGTATCAACTTTATAATATGCGCTGCATAAAAACAATAAGTATAAATGGATAATATACTGCTGATCCAAAAATTAATCCAACATTTCACTTACCTTTGCAGAATCTTTCTGTTAGAAAGATAAAATCATTCAACTTAACTGCAAAGCGACTAGTCAGAAGGCCTATTGGAGATTTAGTTAACTATTATTTCCACATTCTACTGAGAGTTGTAAAGGTTTTTACCTGCATTTCATCCTCTAAAAGATCTGACAGAGCTCCGTATTTCACTTCAGATAGTTTTTCATTGAAGATTAAACTGCATACACAATTAAAATATCTAAAACCAGGCAGTGTTGTAACACCTAATTCTACTGAACCTCACAGAATATCAGCAAATAATTATTCAATGTGTACACGTTATTGTGCAGAAGTCAGTCATGCTTCAGTATTATGCAATACGTGACCAAATAGCCAATTCCCTTATACATATTAGTCTATCAAACATCGATGTTTAACTGTGTGACAAAAACGATAATTCCCTGGAATGGGTGAGAAAAGGGAATATGCCAGCAAGGGGTGACACAGTATTATACAAGTCATATATACAAAATTTAATAAAGAAAAGCAAGATGGACAAGTCTAAGCAAGCAAACAAACTAATAAGACATATCTAAAACGAATATCGCTAATTATTTGAAAAGGAAGTGTAGACGCAGTGATACTATGGCTGTGTGATACAGACAGTGTGTGCCAACGAAATATTATTCTCACGTCATTGGCAACATTATGCGATATATCTATTTGAACATTGTATTTGATGTCAGAGACAGAATGCATTTCCCATGGTTATATACTGCACTAACAACACCGTATCATTTATATTTGAGCATTCTATTTCATGTTGTTTGATGTAAACCGAAATCGTACGCTCAGTGATTGATTAAAGAATATTAACTATGTATATGTGAACAGCGGTTTGATCAATGGAAAATATACCTTTGCTTCCGTATCTTGCCTTCTGTTGTTACTATACATGTTGTTGAGATACAAGTCGGTCTACTGTAGACATATATCACCACCAAGTTAATAAGTGATTGGTCAGAATTTACAATTTGTACCTCACTTGTTGATTTCATTCAGCCTGTGTGTTTTCATTTGTTAATAGCATTGAGTGTACTTGTCCCTCATCGCATTTGCAATTCGCAATAAGATGTTTTACAGGAATTTTACTTTCGGAACTAGAATTTTATGCCTTCAGCTTAAAGACATGTTAATAAAATCAAAACACTGCTTCTGCATGTGTGAATAAGTCTCTAAGTCAGGATGAAAACACTGATATTTACGTTATTCAACACCATCAGGATAAATCGTCTCATCACTTGAAATTGTATGTAAAATGTTTACTCCTCGTAGGTTTCAGAAGTGTTAATTGGAACTCTGACATTCCCCCCTCCTGTTATTTATATATTTACAGATATGTTAACAAAACTTTGCATAATTAGTCTTCTTTTGTGTTATACGAAAAGCTAAAGTGTTCCCAATATGAGTGCAATTGATGCAACTACAGTCAACCAAAGTCCATATCATAGTTTTAACGCAACTCGAATTTGGTTTCCAAGTTGTAACAAGTAAATATGATCATATTCTCCTGATATGGATAAAACTGGAGGAGGTTAACATAATTTGGTTGATTACTTTCAACATTTCCAGCATCATAATCCCATTAAAGCATCATTAGAAAAATTGCCCTGCATGTTAGAAACCTGTTGATAGTACACAAAAGTAGGTATGTAAAATTGTTCAGCGTGAGTGGTTATCAATAAACCTCAGATTACATTTAGACATACACCATAATCCTTGTGTCGCATAATGCCTTGTATTCTTTTCAATCATAATACTACAAGGAATCAATCAATGATCAAGATAACGAAATGGGTTTTTTCAGACTAATTTCCCTGAATATCTTAATGAGACAAAAATGATACGATTATTTCCGTTTGATCTAATCTATCATCTTTTTGCTATTTGTTCTTGTCGAAACTAGATACCTTAAATACATATACCTTTTATATCCAGTGAATATAACAAAACTAGTGTAGATAATCAATTCCAGTTGAAATGGTCTATTCAAAAGCTTCACAACTTTGATTTAGTTATGTTTTACTTGTCAGGATTCCCAAATTTCAATAACCTAATCTGTTCACGGACTTTAAACAATAAATTTGCTGTTTATTGTCTAAAGCTCTAAGCTGCACAAATACACAAATATTAACACGTTAAACAATAAAAAATCAATTACTCACTGCAAACTTTAATACATTGCAGAAAATAATAATAGTAATAACTGCTTTTGTATTCTAAGCGATAATTTTCCATACAGAAAGGAAATTCCTGAGTTGCATATACTGCATTAATGTATCTCCTTTTACACATAAATTAGTGCATAAAATAGTAGAAATAAAATATGAGTTGAAGGATAACATGAGTAATCATGATTCCGATTATAATTTGCTGTCTATTTACTGACTGAAAGGTTTATAATCCGTTTTATGACATTGCCCTTCTCTCACAGAAACCCGCGCTCAATATGGTATGTTTGAATTATCCTATTTGGCCGTGTGAGCATAAACTAGCACGAAATTTCTTCTAGTTGTGCCCGAAGAGGCAGTAGGATAAAGTTGAGAATAAAAGGAATGTTCGGTATCAGACAAAATGACTTTAGCTAATTGCTTGTAAGAAATAAATTGCTTATCAACAACAATGAGAGTTTGATGATTTAATGGAGACTAACCCTGCTTACAACCTCAAATGTTCTACTTAACACGAAATAGTCGTTTCCTGAGAAGCTCACGGAAGAATAAGACTGAACAATAAAGTTGAATGGGCATAAAACATGAATTACTAAATTTTATGAGAAGAGGCTGAGTTATGCCAGAAATCCTCAACTTTCTCGTGTAATGTGTCAAACGAATGGTTTTCTCAGAAATAAACTATTTATGAGATGATCGACAAAGATTTGAGGAGAAACTGATGCCAAGACAGGTGGCATTCGATTTCTTTCCTGACACAGTGTCATCGATATTACAAGAATAATGGGATTGAATCAGTCCAAGTAAATCTTGTTCACGTCTGTGGCCTAAGATAGCCATCCGAAACTTAAACGGATTTAGTATAGCACCAATTGAGTGATCCTGGATTGTAAGTGAAGTCAATAAACTATGTCTTAGTGAAGATGTGATAAAAGTAAGGGATGAAATTAGAGGGACTGAAAATATAAGTAAGGAATAGTGGTGAAGTCATTAGTTGGTTAAGCCTTAATAGGCCGAGGGAGGGATAATGTCTGTGCGAACTTCTTTTGAATGCCTATCGCCCCATCTATATATGTAGTAGATGAATATAAAGTCTATTTAGAAGATTCGGTAGGATGCCATGAATCACTGTGAATGCTTTCGATTTCTTCAGTCAGTAGTTGCTATCAACTAAACGTGACCAAATCGAGCTACAGATTGTTTTTTATCTGTCCTTTGACAAACCACCACAATGGGAGATGTTCGGTAACTGGCTGGCTAAGCTGTCTATTAGTCCGCCTAAAATAATTGTCACAGTAGAAGCAGTTGAACTGATAAATGCACACCAATGTGACAGAATCATCCATCTTATCCTTCGTTTGAGTCTCAATCATTCTTCAAACGGAGAATAATAAACATAGGTGTGCTGCGTAAAACGTTCTCCGTATACTCCTGAAAAGTCTCTGGAACAAAATTTCATCTGACAGGTCACCAGTAAATTGTACCTAGAAAAATAGAGTTTTTCGTTTTGTTACAGTCTCAGAACGTCTAACACAATAAATGTAGGTATAATAGAGTTAAACCTGATGAGATATCATTGAAAACAACATTTTTCGCTTTAATATGGAGTTCTACATTGTACTATGAGGATATTTGTTATTCTAAAATCGTTTCAGTCTAATGTTAACTGGATCAACGACTAAGTATTTGTACCAAATCTGGTTCAAATATTTACAATATATGAGAATGAAAAGCAACTTACAAGTGACTAGATTAAATGGGTAAATTTTGCTCAGCTGAAATTCATCTGAATCCACTTGAAACAAAATATCTTCCATCCACGCTTTTTATGAACTAGGATTTCAAGAACTTCTATAAGTTGACTTTGAGAGGACCAAGTGATAGAACAGACAGACATTTTTATACAAAAATGTTTAAGGTATTGATCGTAGTCTTACAGTGGTGGGTATGTTAGTTAAATAATTTTACAAAGATTCTAAGCTCAAAATGTCGACCGCAACACTTATTACAAATTCTCTGATTGTTTCATAGCTCGTCTAATAAAACTTTTAATGAGAGATAATTTCATTCGTCTGATTCGAATATACAATATTTTCTACCTGAGGTCTTCGACTAACCTCGCCTAGTGAACTAGTTCGATAGTTTTCTAGCCGGTCCCAAGCCCGGTTAGAGAAGGAGGGTTGGGCGTGGGGCTAGCAGTCCCACACCACTAAGTCTTTCAAACCGCCAGAGGAAATTCAACACACCGAATATATATTTAAAAATACAAACAATCTTATTCTTCGCTCGAATCGGAGAGGCGAAATGACACAGTGGGCTGGTGAAAGCCAGACTTCAGGAAGGCAGTCAGCCAGCCGATTTGTCTTCTCTCGATGAAAGCAAGAGAAAGAATGGCTACTCGGAATATCCGTAAAATGTACGAGTCTGGTAAGGCTGTCCAGGTATCCATAGAGATGCAAAAATATACCGTACAGGTATTGGGTATCTGCGAGAGTAGATGGAATGGATGCGGATTTTCAAAACTGTCAACTGGATAGTCATTAATCTACCCTAGTCAGATCACCCGGACTACAATCACAAACACACTGAGGCAGTGAGGGGCTGTCACGATATCACCAATGGCAGCCAAAGCCCTAATGCAACGGGAACAAATTTCATACTGCAGGATTGTAACAGCAAGATTCAACTCAAAAAGAAGTAAGGATTAAGGAAGGTAACAATTATCCAATGCTACGCAGAGTGCTACAAAGAACGCGGAACAAGAAAAGAAACATTTTAAAGAAAACTACAAACAGTAATGGATAATATCTCAAATAGCGAAATCTAAATACTCATGGGTGATATGAATGCCAGCCAAACTGGAAGCAGACAATGCTGGAAGAGAACTCATCATCGGTCGAGAGGCACTTGCTCGGAAATATGAATCAGAACGGAGAATTATTCTTGGAATTCTGCTCTTTCAATGATTTGGTGATCGGAGTCAGAGTATACAAACACAAGGATATACACGGAGCAGCGAGGATTCCGCCTGACGGACACAACACAAGCCAAATAGATTCAATCTAAATGCCGCTCAAGAAGGTGGAGACGCAGCCAGCCTGTCGGATACAAAGTCGAGAAGGGGAGCTGATTTGGGCTCAGATTATCATCTAGTCCAAGGGACTTTCAAGATGAAGCTGAAACCCATGAATATCAATGGAGGCAGACCAGCACAATTAAAGTTATGCATTCAGAAACTGAAGGACACGCAACTCCACTCATTGTCGTCACAGAGTAAAGCGTAAAACTGAAGCCGAACATCTACCTCAACGTCATCGACTTCGAAAAGGCCTTCGACAGCGTAGGCCGAAACGTAATTTGGGTACTACTTCAACACTATGATGTACCTCAATTCTTTGTTAACCTCATTCAACAGCTAGCCAGCCAGAAAGAATAAGCTACAAGAAACTGTAGGAAGAAACCAAGCAAGAGCCGAACGCTCAACAAATATGTAGAAGAAATGGAGATGGATCGGGCCTACGTTGGGGAGGCCGCCTAATGACATCAAACACCAGGCCGTCGATCTCGTGGAATCCAAGTGGGAAGCCACGAGGGGGTCATCAGTGTGAGGTTGACATGTAGAAGATTGTGTGAGGAAGAGATGAGGGAGTCTGATCAATCGGCGGCCCAGTTGAAGAGGACGGAAGAAAACAGAACAAAGTGTAGATGTGTTGCTGAAGCCCAATGTCCCACTCGGAACGCAAGGGAATAATAATAGAATAGGGTCACCGACTATTCTAATTTATCACATATTTCTGCACATGATAACTATGCTTAGTTTGAACAAGGCATTAAGAAGACAAATTTCGCGAGATGATATCATTTCGTAGTTTCTTTACAACCGCTTTACAACTAACATGGTTAACAATGATAAAATAAAGTTCATGAAAATTACTCAGTTAAATAAAAACAAAATTAAATACTAATGACCCATCATATTAAGATAGGTCATGCAGTCCAGGGTAGGCGAAGATTGAAGTTTATTGATTTTTGTATACACAGTTTAGGCTGTATGTGATTAATCCAAAGTGCTTCCATCACCTTTAATAACCTTGAATTAGAGTTGTGTGAAATAATTGTGAAACATTCAAGGGCGACCAGATTATGCAGTTGACAACTCAAAGACTTCGATCAGCCATCAAACTCACATTCTACGCCGCCACATCTCTTTTTCTCACTTGCCGAACATTTTCGATCCCTGTTCCTACGATTAAAGGACGAAATTCTGTGGAATCTACTTCAAACTGTATCTACAAGTTCACCTGCAGCTGCGGTGACACCTATATAGGTAGAACTAACAGAATGTTCCAATGTCGTCGAAAAGAACATATTCCAAAATGGCTAGTAAATCATATCGAAAATCCTAACGCGATTAATCTTAGTAGAAATCCAGCATCATCCATTGCAAAACACTTATTAATGTCTGGTCACAAAATCAATATTAATGACTGTTTCACAATTATTTCACACAACTCTAATTCAAGGTTATTGAAGGTGATGGAAGCACTTTGGATTAATCACATACAGCCTAAACTGTGTATACAAAAATCAATAAACTTCAATCTTCGCCTGCCCTGGACTGCTTGACCTATCTTAATATGATTGGTCATTAGTATGTACTTTTGTTTTTATTTAACTGAGTAATTTTCATGAACTTTATTTTATCATTGTTAACCATGTTAGTTGTAAAGCGGTTGTAAAGAAACTACGAAATGATATCATCTCGCGAAATTTGTCTTCTTAATTCCTTGTTCAAATTTATCAAAGGGACTAATTGTTTTAACTATGCTTAGTGCCAAATAATTTACGTTAACTACTGTGAAATAATACAATGCTCAAGTATAACTTACAAGCCAAATCTTTGTATACAAACAGTCAACATAAAAATCATTTAAAAATCAGTGAATTTTCTCTGGTATGCATAGACTGAATTCGTAAGAACTTACCGCCTTCATGTAACATTTTATTTTCACTTCTCAGGTAAAATGAACTGGCGTTTGTACAGTGTACATATGTTTTCTACGCTTTAGACTCTCAAGTTACAGGTAGTGTCGTTATTGCTCATGATACTGCTAGTTTAAAGCATTGTGTGCTGATGAAACTAAAAGCAACATTTGTACAGGAACATGCTTATGATTTGTGACGGGCGTTAAGCATTATATTCCAAACATGCCTGAAAATAGATCTTGCCAACGAATAAAAGTATTTCCCAAGTAATACTTCCCCTAATCCTCTTAAACAACTTAGAAAATGAATATATGATTAGTTGTACAAAAGCCATATGCTACAGACTCATTGAGATGAATGGTTGTATATTACTCATGTTGATCGGTAGTGCTTCCTAGTGTAGTAAAAACTCACGCAAACACTTAACATTGATGTTCGAACGGCGACGTTTCTGTAGCTGGAGGTAGCTATTTTTCTCTTGCTTTATTGTGAACAGTTTTACATCAGTAATATTCTACCTGACAAAGTGTGTGATAGTATAGATGACTGAAGAAATGTGTGTTGTGACCAATGCAGCCTCAGTTGTTTTTCCCCTAATAAGGTCCAATGTGTATGCAGATGCATTAATCAGTCATTCATAGAATAAAAACCACAACTTCAAAATTTGTTGACGAATCTCTAATTGATGAAATGCAGCACGATGCCAATTTCTAGTATCAAATTCCAAGAGGAAGAAGCATTTTAACAGATGCTTCAGTTTTTATGCTTGACAGAATCTGACTGATCAACTTGCACAACTGGAACGGTGTGAAGTGGCAACTGATTTGCGAATTGCAAATTCGATTTATGATATTACGAAGTTTATCGCAGTAGGTATTCAGAAATCGGGTGTTTTGAACTGATTCGGGTGTCTTTACTGAGCCAATTAGGTCACACTGTTGATGAGACTGTGTTAGTATCCCTACAACCTGACTAGCAAGAAGCACTAGGTAATGTGACTGGTACATAACTAATCAAAGTAGTTTCATCAGGCTCACTTCTCTGTTATATACTTTTAAATAATAATAATAATTTTTCCTTCACGTTCCCCAGTGGAACATAGGGCTTCAAGCTAGTAGCTTGAAGTTTCTGTAGCAGAGTTTATTTTACAGGATGGGGTTGCTAGCCTCATGCCCAACCTTTCCTCTTTACCAGAATTATTTCTGGCTTGGAGAGGTAAAGGTGTGCGTCGGCCGGTTATATACTTTACTTACCGAAAAAGGCTAAATGAAGATTTTAAGCACATTGCGTAATACTATGAGATTGTGAAATAATAGGGAAGTGATGGTAAACACAGACTGATTAGGGTTCGCTTACATATCTCTTTTCCTCAATCAGCATGAACTATTCACTCATTTGTGCAACAGAATAATATAAACATACATAGTCTAGTAAAATCTGTACAGCTGGCATTTTACAACACTGAAAAGCATAATATAACGCACAAATCACAAAGCAAATGAAGTTATCATGTCAGTCGTGTTTCAAGTGACTAAAGGTGTTGTTAGCTCCGGAAGTTTTCACAAGTCAATGTTGAATGATGTGCAAACATCCAGTGATTCAGTTGTAATTTATGCGAGAATCATCTTTTCTTGTTGGAAGTTATTCTCACCTTGTCTAATTGGATTCACCAGTTAAATCTCAGTTGTCATTATATAGGAAATTTATGGATTTACGTGACTGAATTTTACAAGTCTACTCTAGCCTACAATTATCAAGTAAGTACAAAAGTCAAAATTAGTCCTCCTGACGTATTACATTATACACCAGATCACTTACACGCCTTGACTACAATATTCCAGACAAAATTTGTTGGCCATAAAAGTTTCACATAAATTATATTTTCTAACATTTTGCATAATTTCAAAAGAATATAAGATATTATTGCGCCTTGAGATAATCACGCTGAGATTCCTGAAAGTATAGGACAAATGAAATCCAGTCAACAACATTACAGAGTATTCCCCTTCTGTGTTTTTGAAATATGCTTTACCAATCACTGTTTAGCCTAAGTTTCCTTAAAATGATTGAATATTTCTAATCTTAAGTATATGCTTCTGTTTCGGTCAACGTTCCACACGAAGGAAACGAGGCTATGAGACGACATCATATTTCAACAAGAGTTGATTTGGTGTGTATTTTGCAACACGAAATCAGTGAAATTTGAATTTAGAATTTTGTTGTATACATGACATTGTAATGTTTATTATTAGGGTTGTCAATCTAAAAAGGAACGTATACACTTTATACTGTCGAAAATATTTGATAAAAGAAGTTAGTTGAAATTTTCACTGTAAAGGAGAAGCAGCTTATACACCATTTGTTTTAATTTAGTTGCAGTAAGTATGCCTGGAGCAGTATGAAACTTTGAAAAAGTTCGACGTAATTTGAAAATCCATAATGCGTTGTGATTGATTTTGAATAAATATATGTCCATCGAGAGACTTAGTTTTGTGGGATTGTTGATGTTGACTGTTGGTTTTGTGTGTGGTGGCGGCATTTATGACAATTCGTTGATGGCGATCAATTCAGGATATGTTTGAAATGGTCGCATTAGAGTTTCCCTGCTTCTGCCTTCAAGATTTTCCCTATTATTGATATACGTATACAATTATGGCGCTGTGGTAGAATATAATAACTCCATTATCGAAATAAACACTTATCCGTTATGGACTTCACCCTACTATTTGTTACTGGCCTTATGCATGCTGATCTTTCTTCAACAACGACCTTGTTATTTGATTCAGTGTCCTCTGGTCTTTCATGACTGCAGTCTTTCAGATTGGTTGCTTGTTTGTCGTGTCACAACCCTTTGTCTTTTCCTGGCTTCCGTTTACACTCCTATGATGAGTGTGTTGCAAATTTCACGCAACTTCACCTTTTGTTGTTCGTTTTCTCCTTCATCATCCCCACTTTAGTCAGCTTCAGGTGTTCACACAGAATTATTTACTGTCTTACCTCCGACGACTATACAGTTTTCCCTCAGCATTATTTTCAAAGAGATTCAATTTTTTTTACTAATACGGTTTTCTTTGTGATATCACCCATTGTTTATTGATTTTTGTATACACAGTTTAGGCTGTATGTGATTAATCCAAAGTGCTTCCATCACCTTCAATAACCTTGAATTAGAGTTGTGTGAAATAATTGTGAAACAGTCATTAATATTGATTTTGTGACCAGACATTAATAAGTGTTTTGCAATGGATGATGCTGGATTTCTACTAAGATTAATCGCGTTAGGATTTTCGATATGATTTACTAGCCATTTTGGAATATGTTCTTTTCGACGACATTGGAACATTCTGTTAGTTCTACCTATATAGGTGTCACCGCAGCTGCAGGTGAACTTGTAGATACAGTTTGAAGTAGATTCCACAGAATTTCGTCCTTTAATCGTAGGAACAGGGATCGAAAATGTTCGGCAAGTGAGAAAAAGAGATGTGGCGGCGTAGAATGTGAGTTTGATGGCTGATCGAAGTCTTTGAGTTGTCAACTGCATAATCTGGTCGCCCTTGAATGTTTCACAATTATTTCACACAACTCTAATTCAAGGTTATTAAAGGTGATGGAAGCACTTTGGATTAATCACATTGGAAACATTTCCTCAATAGATCCTATGCACACCTTAAATGTGACACAAGACAGGTGTACTCAGTTGTATCAGAAAACGTAAGTACACTTAGGTTTTTCGATGGATTGACCACCAAATGACTGCAGCCTAACTTGTACATGTTGACCAATTACTTTTATTTGAATTACCTGTATCGCTGCTCTTCTTATCCAAATAACTTTTGCATACATTTCAACTGCTTCATATTACTACTACTAGGTAACTCTTGCACATGTAAGCAGAATACGACTAGTTTCATACTGCCAACTAGTCACCGAAAATCCCATGTAAAAATATTTCATGAATTATGAAGTACTCTAATTTTCATGACCGAAAGTAATGTCAAGGAACTGTATTTATCCTTACTCGTGAGTCTATTACCAAATCTCAATTAATTTCTCTTTTCCTTGGTGTAAGAAAAGTATTTCAAACAACAGTAAATGAATTTACGTCTCTTGAATTCATGTCGATGTTGTGATGACTGTAGAGAATTCCAGTCCTGTCTCAAAAAAAACAGCCATTCAAAAACTGATATTTTCACGAAATGATGAGTTGTCAACTTTTTTGAATTTCTTAATCTATCTCTCTTGATGTGGTTAATACTGCAAAACCAACTTCCAATAGAATTTTCGTGCACACATGCTTAAGTCCTGTTTCACTCCTACTCCTACACTCAACATTTTGTCATAATACTTGCACATAGAAGAGAAGTGTTGCAGCATGTGAAGAGGTCCTACTGTGGTGAGAGCAGGCTGCTAGACAATTGGTAGACATTAATTTACGTCAATGTCTAGGTCAATAATATTGGTCGTGAGAAAATATGAACAAGGCTGATTCAACAATAAATCACAGTAGACTTATCGTGGGCGAATAAGATTCGAAGATATATGGCTTAACTTTCCAAGAAACCAGAAACAACCAATCAGGAGAATGTGTTTGTCTCCATGAAAAAGCTATAATAATGTACATGAAATATATATAAATACGCGTTGATTTCCGTGACAAATCGAACTGTTGCCGGCCCTACTCTTCTCTTATTACATTATGAAGTACTTTTTACCTGAAAGTCCTTTCAATAAGTGAACAAATTATACACTGCTAAAATAGATTCTGCCCTGAGTAGTACCAATATAACTTGAAAAATCACACTGTACAGCATATTGCTTAGTTATGTGAATATCTGCATAATATCACAAAAAGAGGAAGAAACTTTGAAACTATTGTCGTCAATCTGTGTAGGATGTAGGTGTTCTCTTTCACTAGTTTAACAGACAAAAAATTCTAGAGTCTGGTACAATGTAACCGTACTGTGCAACAGAAATATAAGTGTATGAAAAATAACATATTTCTACACTCTTTATGAATTTTCTATCAACTAAATACCGTCGATAGGCATTTTTCGTTTTAGCCAGTCTATTTGACCTTTTCTGTGAATGACATTTAGAATTTTAACAGTGGGGAGTGTAAGAACAATCAACTCGTATTATATGCTTAGGATTCTCTGAGACCTAGTTGAAAGCCTTGTGAATGATGCAAATTTCAAAAATAAGATTTCCATGGTCTTCCTGCTTAACTACAATTTGTTAAACTACCAATGTGCTTTCCATTCAGAAGGTATAAAAAGACGTAGAATCAATTGTCACTAACGCCTTTAAAATCGAACTGTAGTAGTTGAAGTGTCCTGATATACTTGTGAGAAATAAAGTCGATAAAAACGTAGGTATTTTATGACCTTTTCCTAATATGAAAGGTATATTGTATTGAATCTTCTCATGTCTGAGCTTTCGGTTGTCTCCTATTATCTTCAAATGAGAATCTATGATGTCAACAGTTTATTCGCTGATATTTTCGGAACACTGCTTGATATGCACTGAAATCAATTTCATTTTTCGTGTAAACAACTCAGTTTTATAAACAATGTTCACCGTGGATCATGCGTTACTTGTTGAAAATATTTTAGGCATTTTGAGCGATGTAACACTCAAAGATATAGTGACGTAACTTCTGACGCGGATATAGACCACGTATATAAAAGGATGTTCTACTATTCATGGAGACATTTTGATGAAGATATGCAGATGCCGGGCTATTTTCGAAACAACGTTTTCATACCACCATAAATAGAATATTATTATTGTTCCACTGTGTTCCAAGATGGATGTATAGCTTCAGTTCCCTGGAGTCATTTTATTTAGATTCAGGACTGTCCATAATTTTTCAATTCCTACTCATACGGTTACCTTCATGTCACCCTCTTGCCCACTTTCAACTCGTTATTTCTCTTTCAGGTTCGTTTAGAGTGTCCCGCACGTAGTCGCAGTCAATGTTCTTTTCAGTAAATGGCTGTTCCATCTCCATTTTATTCTGCATATTTGTTCGGTGATAGATTCTTGGAGTGTTCACTGTCATAGTACGTTTTTGCTTAGTCTTTCTGGCCGTTCATCTCATATTCAGTATTGAGTGAAGGCAGCCGCGAATGAGTCTGCCGCTTGCCCTGTTAGAAATAATTATACTGATACGCAAAATATCTCTGAAGCAAATGGAAGCATTAAAACGACACTTATGGTGAAAATTCGGATCTGCTCATTTGTGCTAAGCGTTATAGAACTTTGTGCTGATTTCAACGTACCAAAAACCTGTCTGAATTCTGTTATCATTGAAGGCTTGACATTCTAATCCGTGTCCTTTGTATTGGAGACCATGCTGCCTTGTTGGGTGAGAGGGATTACTTTCTCTAGATTTCTTTTACTGATGCTGATTGGTACAGTATAAACACCCTTAAGAACTGCACCTCTGCTCCATTTGATTACTAGTGCGTGAGCTGCAGTTACTGGGGTAAGAAATACTTAAACTGTATAAACAAACTCGGAAAGTTGTTACACTACCGTTCTATGATTATGAGTAATATATAAGCAGCCCTGTATCAGTCTGCGTTTTGTATCAATTTTCAGCGGAGTTTATTGAATAACATTTTCTCTTCGTCTAGGATCTCTAAGTGAAGTAGTAATTTACAGTAGATCGCGTCACGTTATGCTGTCTGACCTGAGTCGCAAACCGATCCCTTATGATATTTCTTTTTTGTTTTCATCAAAAAATGAGAGACATTCGGTTGAAAAGTAATTATTAGAGACGCAGGAGTAAATTCTGAGATCCAAGGACACAAATTAATAATTAATGACTGCAGGTGGTTAGTTTTATTCCCCAGGCAGTAATAGTTTGTACAATAAACCTCTGGAATA